AGAGAGAGAGAGAGAGAGAGAGAGAGAGAGAGAGAGAGAGAGAGAGAGAGAGAGAGAGAGAGAGGATTTTGATTTTGAGTTCCTTATCTTGTCCTGCGCTTCCGCCTACGTTCTGACCTCCCTCGCTCCTACGGTAATCTCCTTCGTCCCCCGTTGCCATTTTACCTCAACCTTGCACAACACAGAGATTTCCTGGGAGACAAGTCGCCTTGGGTTTAGGGTTTAAAGGTTCTGGATCTTCTCGTCTGCCTCATCCTGGAAATAGCCTCTCCACTTCTGCAAATCCACGGCTTCCCTAGAAAATATCGTGGTGGGCCGTCTCCCCATCTGGCTATGGAGTGATACTCAATTTCCCCATTGGCAAGCTCACTAAACCGGTCCAGCACCCAATACAACGTGCATAGGGTTTCGGGCAGTATGTTCTGGCGGGGCGGGTCCCTGCACTTTCTTAAGGTCAACATCTTCTTCTCGTTTTTAAGGACAATCTCAATCTTTTTTGCAACAATGACTACCATTGCTTTGTCCAACCAATCCTTGCGCAAATAAAACAAGAGTTCAGCTATTATCTCCCTTGGGATGGCAAAGGTGAACCTTTAGCAGGGGTCTTCCAAAAGATCGCGTGTTTGCTCAGCATTTAGAACACCCAAATCACTTCCGTCACGGATGACCTGTCCTGACCAAGATCGACCCTTTTTCTGGGTTGCAGGGCCTTACGCACTCCAGAGGGGTATCGTGCACCATGAGTATGTACTGAATGGTCACCAGGTAGGTGTTACTAAAGAGGGGCGGTGGCAGGGGATTTTCCCACTCGATGTTACCTTCTTGTTTGAAGTACCATACAAGTGGTTCCAACAATCCCTCTTCGATGGTGGCTTTCCCTCTGAACTCTTTGAAACATTTCCACCCATCTTGTTTTCGGGGTGTTAGAAAGGGTCTTTCTGCGGCCCGTATTGGTGAAGGGTCGACCCCCGGCCCCCAGAATTCCTTTGGCGTCGGTCGCGTTCCTGGTCGATAGTAAGGCGCCGGTGCTTCAGACAGGAGTACCCCGTGGCGGATGCGGAGCATACCCGCCGGGCTCATATATGCTGACGGGTTGTGTCCGAAGTCCTCCAACACACTACTCTTTGTTGTAGCCCAAACTGTTGTCGATCCTTCCATTTATACTGGTGGTTTGGCCACTCCCCGATCCTGATGCACCGTCTTAATGCAGAACCTGGCAATGAACATCTTGCAGAGAGCCAACATAACTTTGTCGAAGCAGTAAAGCAGCTCAGACTCGATGAGAGCCGCGTCCTTCACTTAGGTCCGGAGAATCCTAGCGAGACCGAGTCTTCTCCTTTGGTCATACAACCCCCCTGAAGAACAATTGTTATCACTTTGGGTCGTGTGGCCCTGCGAGAAAAGTAAAAGAAGAAGCTTGCCACCTCATTAAACACCTTACTCAAGAACACATATGGATAGCAAGGGGGCCCTAATAGAGTTCAATGTTGCTTCTTCCTCATGAACCTCCTAACCTCGTATGACCAACGGGGTCCTCCTGCAACCATGTACTCCTTAGGGTTCTACCTACCTTGTACACCTGTCTGTTCTCCTCTTGCCTCGCAACTTCAATGGCAGGTTCTACCAAAGTCACATGCAGGAAGGATAAGTAGAACCGCTTATTCCCCCACATGGGCCTCTCGGATGCGTTCTACGTTCGGTTTCCTGCTGACTGGTACCTCATTGTGACCTCATTGGGGTCTTCCATTATGTCGTGCCCTCTGTAGAGTACGTACACCTTGCAGATTCTGGGTGGTCGAAGGGCTGCCATTGCGGGGGTCCTCGCAACAAACCACCACCAAAGCCCCCCACGTTGTAGGCCCCTCGATTCTGGTAGATTTTATCAACCCCCGGTTTCTCCGAACATTCAGGCGGCTACCTCGACTAAATAATATATTCCCCATTCGTATTTTGCGAACCGCGGGGTGAAATCCTGTTTAAACGAACTCTATGTGAGTTTCTCACACCTGTTCCTCAAGTCCTGCCTGGTCTGCTGGTTCTTCGAATAGCTGAGTCATCCCGCCAGGTTGTTTTCCCCTATCTCAAACTCTCGCAGAATCATCGGCTCATACTCTGACTAAGTCAGTTGTGGCGTCCCAAATGCTAGAATGTTAATGAGCTCAAGTATTCTCACGCCCTGTGGCGACCTCCTACATAATCCAGAAAGAAGTGAACATAGCTTGGCTATTCTCATGCGTTGAATGCCTGCCTATCATCTCCCTCCTTTCGTCACATTCTTCCTTTTATCTCGTTTCTCCCATTGCCTTTCTTTGTTCTTCGTCTCGAGATCGTCTATACTTCCGTTGGCTCGAATAGTCGGGATACATCATCTATGTAGGTCATCCCGGAGGCTACTTCCCGCCTAATGACGCCCCACAGCACTTCGTCATTGACTAGTGGAACCCTCGGTCTTGTTGTTACTGTCACGCGTAGTATAGGCAAGATTTCATATTCCCGCTCTTGTCAAACGGCCCTATTTCTAAGAAGGCCCTGTA